CAAATTACATGGAAAACTATATATAAATATATATAGTTTTCCATGTAATTTGTTGGAAAATCTTATCATATACGATATATTTAAATTGTACTTTTCATCTCACTGCCTTTGTGCTTAATATATATTCTTATGTTGCGCTAACGCCAATCTAGAAATTTTTCTGGTACGAGTTATTAAGCATATAACCGTATCAATAGTGTATACCATATCTATATGAATATCCTATTTAGATAGAAAACTAAGCTAGTTTTAAAACTTGAAACTGCAACCAATCAGGATTTTTGTGTCTTGGGGAAAAATTATGTGTTTCAGTAGTTGTGATGGTGGCTGAAGATTTAAAAATGCCCCACATGTTAACAATATTTTTGAATCCTTTACTGTGAAACTGAAATAGTTAGAATTTTCAAATTTCTTTCACCATTTAAACAGACTGTAATACTTGCCAATTTTGATGTACTGTTGCTTTAGATCCTCACACTGTAAAAAAAATTTTCACAAGTTTATATGATGTTAGTTAATCGAATTGTCATTATAAATTCTATCCTCAAAACCAGAGGAGTGGACTAACCGAGTGCTTGAACATTTGCTCCCAGTACAGTGGTCGAGGTTCTGAAGTCAAATTTTTCTGTGTGGTAGAGGTTTCTGAAGTCGAATCTTACTGTGATATATAGAGAACTATAATGCTCTATGCTACAACCAGAGGTGGGGAGAGGACAAGTGGATGAGTACTAGGTTAAACACGAGAAAATAAAAACGATCAACCAACTAAATAAAATTGTACATAGTGGCTGGGTAAATCGTTGATGGTATCAGCCATCATCAAGTCAGACCTCACTAATGTGCACGAGCTTGCCCTAAAAATTAAAATTAGTCAATCATAGTCTTTGTTACTATGTTAGAACAATCGTTACTACCTTAGAACGAATTTGCTGATAACGGTGCGACGCTAATATTATCAATACTACCAAATCATCGCAATAAAAAAAGTGGAACCAAGTTGAATGTTTTCACTTTTCAGTTTTGTAGTAATCAAATAAAAGTAAAAATGGACTAAATATTTGCTTTTTTGTTGGTTGGCAAATCATAATGTTTAAAATTAGTTTGAGAACCTTTTGAAGTCGGTATTCACTGTGGAAGTTACTACTATTCAATATTTGTTTATTCAGCTACACTGAAAAATGCTAAATGTAGCATGCGTGATCAAATATATTTCTTAGGAATCACCTTTGTTTTTCTTCTTCATTCTTATGTGTCAAATTGAATCAGTAGAGACAGTAACAACGAACAAAGTAAATTAAACCAAGAGAAAAAATTAAGAGAAATAAAGAAAAATATTTTATTATTATCTAGCCACAAAACTTACACAAAATATAGCTAAACTCACCTATTTATAATGCTACAATAGCTTAGGGTAGGGAGTAAATTAATTAAATTTAGAGGCTAAGTTACTTTCTCAATAAATGAAACAACTCTCTTGGATATATTCCATTTGGCAATCTTATCCATAAGTTACTTTGCCTCTAAGATTGCCAAAGAACATGTATATCCAAATCCAAGTGAGAAAGTAATAAGATTAATCAATATATTCACATGTTTTATAACAAAAAGGAATAAAAAGATCACAACTAGTTTTATCAAACGCTGTCGTATTTGCTTGAAACATTGATGACACGGTCCAGGTAAATAAAATTTATGCGCTCAAAAGCCCACCAAAGCAAAGCCCATCGTTGAGGGTTTGTAACTGATTGTGTCGTTTAGTGAATTCGAAAAACACAATATTTATAGCGGCAAAGGCAGTAGCTTGAACAAGTTGTTTTCTTCTCCGATCATATTATTTCTTCATTCTCCTAAACTCTCAAGGTACGCCTTTAACTCTGAGAAATCGTTTCTCATCTTCTTGGAATCAAAGATTTCAGATAATGGATATAGACTTTGATCGATCTCGTGTTCTCTGTATTTTGTAGCGTAGCGAGGATTCGGAAGAGTTGCTTGACGAAGTGTCTCATTCTCTCTGCTCCTCCTCATCGATCGTTTTTTTTTTGTTCTGTCCTCTCAAGAGGTAAGAGTTCGAATTATTCGAAATCGATGCCATGTTTCAGCTTCTTGGGAAAAAAATTCAAGTTCTCGTCCGGAGTTTGGCGGTTTGGATATAAGAGTTTCCTAGGTTTCCTTTCTGCTAGTAATTTCTGATGATTCATTTTGATTTCCTCGCGTTTTCATGGATTCTAGATTATCTCCGTCGTCTATCTGTTTTTTCTGGTGATCGATTCGTTTAAGATCTATAATCTCATATTCGGAATTTAGGTCGTCCGAGTTTCAGAGTATTTGGAGGAAACCAGATTCGGACATTTGTATGTTGTTTGAGTGTTTCTGCGTTAGGTTTATCATTCTGTCCTGGGATGTGGATATCGGTGTTTCTTTCAAGAACACATAGCAAAGAATTGATCTGTTTGTCTGTTCCTGCAGATATGGTGAAAAGTGGACTTACCGAACTCCCTAATGAACTTTCTTTATATATCATCTCATTCCTTTCGGCCAAGGAAGCTGCGAGGTTTCGAGCCACTTCCAGCACGTACCGTAATTTGGTAACACTACTGCCTGATCTGAGTTATAATGACAACAATGACATCAGAAGCTTTCAGGGTTTTGTGAATGAATTGCCGAGTGACAGTGAAGCTTACCATGTGAGACAAGTTTATGTGAAACTGACCATTCGTGATGAAGCTATGTCTTCCCTCATGAACCGGTTTGTGCGTGATATGCTAAAAAGAGGGGTCATGAATCTGGAGCTTATAAATTTGGATGATCAATACCTCCCATCATTACCGGTTGAGATTTTCAGCTCCACAACCATCGAGACTATGAAATTCCGAGGGTTTTCGATAGACATCGTGCCTAGAACAGCTTCACTCCCGGCTCTAGAGAAACTTACAACTGACAGAGTCACCTTCAATGGGATGGCCTTAAGAAGATTACTCTCCTCTTGCCCTCTGCTTGACACTTTGGTCATCGATGAAAATCAATGGAAGTGGCCTCTCAATTATTTGCATATATCCTTTCCAGATACTAAATATACATTTGAAGATATATTTGATATTATCGAAGATATCGAGTATATGCACACAGGGTTAAAGGGATATACTGCACTGAAGAGATCTGTGGTTGATCAGATAGACATAACAGGCTGCGGACTCAGAGATCTAGCAGTAGTAGAAGTCATACTAGCTTCATTCCCTTATCTTGAGCAACTAAATGTTGGAACGCGGACACAACTGGTTCCTACAAGGAGGGATATCATGAATAAAATAGAGAATCTTCCCAAAGCTTCGCAGACTTGCAACATCACGCTGTTTCCATGCAAACATCCCTTTACCATCAAAAAACATTCGTCCGTGAAGCTTTAGAATCTTCAGATGCTGCCAAGGTCTTACTTGGTTTCCTTGCAAGAGTTTACTAATCCCGTTCTCTTTTACTTGGTCTTCTATTAGTCTCAGTGACATACAGTAACTGTCCATACTGCAACTTCTGTAAAGTTGGTTCTCTTGTTGTCTTTTTAATTCTACTTCTGTGCACTGAACTTTGCTTTGATCTTGAAACAAAATTTGATTTGAACCCTCAATACAATCTCAACTAACATCTGGTTAGTAAACATAACTTTGATTGTACTTTGGAAAAAATAAGAGCAAGCAACTTGTATTGTAGGGTTATAACCTGCAAATTTCACTGAATCACTTATGTTCTCCCCATCTCAGTCCACGCTTTTACTGGTCTTTTGGAGTAAATCATCTTTGAATGTCTAAACCAACACAATGTTTCTTTCCAGAACTTGAGAAACATTTTTTTTGATGACTTTCTCATACTGAAATATGGTTTTGCTTTTGATATGCAGACATTCACTTGTTCTTTGACTTCAAATTCTTCGTTAACACAACTGAGATACTCTTGAAACTTTTCACCTGTGACCTTGTCCAAAACCCAATAATAAATGGATGGGACATGGGCCTAAATCGGACGGACGATGATATTAATTAATAGCCCGCGGGAAAAAAACTAAAACTGTGGAGGAGGAGGTATTAAATGAGTAGGAGATTTATATAGTAACTTTAAAGATTTTAAGTAATTCCATCCAAATCACATTTAAAAGTGCCATAATTGTTTCGTCACATTTTCGTATGATTTTTCCATTAAAATCTCTTTAAATGACATAAACATGAAAGCCATCATTAGAATTTAATAAAAATAAAAAATCAATAAATTGAATAACACTATAATTATAAACGAATCTATCAAATCTATATATTTGAATAGCACTAGACTATACATTTTTAAAATCAAAATGGAAATTATATAGAAACATCAACAATTCTTTTAAAATCATTTAAAATTTTCTCTTCCATAAACTCGTAACTAAACTTGAAAGCGCAGAGCAGAGAATGAAAAATCCTAACCCCGACGAATCGATGGAGCTAGACGACGAAGCGAGCAGACCGAAGATGGATATGTGCACTAATCAGAGTGAAGAACTGCTCTACATCGAGGCTTACGCGGCGCTATACAGAGGTCGCACGAAGATCATGCGGCTTCTCTTCTTCGCTAACCACTGCGAAGAAAACCGAACGGTACAGCTTGAAGCGCTCAGGAGGGCTTACGATGAGATCAAGAAGGGAGAGAATACGTACTTGTTCAGAGATGTGGTCGGTAAGATTAACGGTAGGCTTGGGGACAAGTACGGGATGGATTCGGCCTGGTGCGAAGCCGTCGATCTTCGTGCGGAACAGAAGAAGATAAAGCTGGAGAATGAGCTCAGTTTGTATCAGGTATTTGGTTTTTTTTTTCTTTTCCACAAGTGATTTCGTTTTAATCGTTCATGGTTTCTCTAGTCCTTGCTTGTTTTTCATGTACATTGGTGACTCTCTACTGCTGATTTTGATTCAATTAGTTCCTTAGAGAATCAAGTATGTGGTTGTCTGTCTAATGATAACTCTCTTCTGCTGTGTCTCGGTTATTTGCTTAGACAATGAAGTATGTAGTGTTGTTTTTGTGCTTGCTTGTGTGTGCATAGTTTTTATATATTGTTGTAATTCACTTGCTTGATTTCCTTAATTGCAAAAATACTTATTTATCTAAGCATACAGACAAATATGATCATGGAGAGCCTGAGAATGTGCTACAATGACTTTGGGGACTTCTACTATGGTCGTGGTTTGCTCTAACAAGCTGTTGAGAACTATATCCGAGCACTTGACTACTGCAAAACTCCAAAGCACATCATTAACATGTGTATGAATACGATTCTTGTCAGCATTGAGATGGGTCAGTTTACCAATGTTACAAGCTACGTGAACAAGGCGGAACAGAATTTAGACACCGTTGACCCTATTGTAGTTGCAAAACTGCGGTGTGCATTAGGATTGGCTCTTTTGGAGCTCAAGAATTACAAACTAGCTGCCTGTAAGGTTTGTCGTATATGCTCATGTGTGTTTATGGATCTTGTTCGTATCCTATATGTCTCAATAATCGAACTTAAAAAATTTGTCATGTGCAGTTCTTGGAAGTTGATCCAGAACTTGAAAATTCCTACAATGAGATTATTGCTCCCGAAGATGTTGCCACATATGGTGGACTCTGTGCCCTGGCAAGCTTTGATCGATCAGAATTTAAGGCATATATCCATTTTAGCTTATTATCTTTCTTTGCCATTTTTTTGTTCCTTGGTCTATAACTTAGTTGTCTAATGTGACAGGAAAAAGTCATCGACAATATCAACTTCGGGAAACTATTAAAGCTAGTACCTGATGTGTGGGAACTTATCCACAATTTCGATTCAAGGTAACATAATATCTTACAAGACTCTTGTTTATTTCTTGTATATAACCAGATTATAGACCTTGAACCTAAAGGATGATTAGAGAAAATACTCACTAAGACAGTATTTACCCAACAAAAGTCCGTTGAGATCAACATGTCTGTCTAATCCACAGTTTATTCGGGTCGTATACTCTGGCCAACTCTAGATTTTGAGAAAGATTATGAATTCAAGAATTTAAAGAATAACTCTCTTTATTTGCTTAAGAAAATAACTCAAAACTTAAGCTTTCTAAAACCCTTAATCTCTCTCTAATCTCTTAAGGTTACCACAACTTTGATAACTCATATATATAGAGAAGAGATAATCCTTATTCTAATAGGAATTGTATCTAGATAACTCCTAAACACAATCTAATCCCTAAGTCATAACTCAACTAGGAATAAGTAGCTTGTCTCCTAAGTCTTCTTCTTCAAGCTTATCCCAACAATCTCCCCCTTAAGCTTGAAGTCTTTCTTTGACAAGCTATGGACTCCAATGAGATCTCTCATTACCTTGAACTTGTTCTTCTCAAGTGCTTTAGTTAAGATGTCTGCTCTTTGTTCCACTCCCGGAACATGTATCACCTCCACTTGTTCATTTTCAACGCATTCACGTATAAAATGATACCTTCGATGAATATGCTTGCTACGCCCATGAAACACTGGATTTTTAGTAAGTGCAATAGCGGATTTGTTGTCAACTTGAATTGTCACCTTCTCACATTCTTTATCAATGATTTCAGCGAAGAGATCCTTTAACCAAATGGCTTGCTTAGCAGCTTCTGTAGCAGCCATGAATTCTGCTTCACAAGAGGAAAGTGCCACGACCTGCTGTTTGTGAGAATTCCAAGTAATCGGACACTCATTGAAATAGAAAACATGACCAGCTGTACTTCTTCCATCATCCACATCCACACTATGACTGCTATCACTGTACCCTACTAATCCAGATTGATCTCCACGACGAAAACAGAGACCATAGTTAAGAGTGCCTTGTAAATACCTCAGGATTTGTTTGAGTGCAGCTCCATGTTGTTCTCTTGGCTCTTGCAAATATCGACTTAGAATTCCCACCGGATAAGAGAGATCAGGTCGAGTATGAAGTAAGTATCTCAAGCAACCAATCTTTCTTCTAAAGCTTTGTTCATCGATACGTTTCGGATCTCGTCCTTTAGAGAGCTCAAGATTTGATTCCATTGGTATAAGAATTGGGTTGCATTCTCTCATTCCTGCTTCTTCCATTATTTTAATCGCATATCTCTCTTGTTTTAAGATAATCTCATTTTCTCCTTGAAGAACTTCTATGCCGAGGTAGTAAGTAAGTTTTCCCAAGTCACTCATTTCAAATTTTCCAGCCATCCTTTCTTTGAAGTCAAGTATCATAGCCAAGTTGGAACATGTAACAAGCAAATCGTCAACATAAACTGCAACAATTAGAAGATGATTTAGCTCCTTTTTCTTGTATAGAGAAGGCTCCTTGGAACATTTTTCAAATTTCAGTTCACTAAGAATTTTATTCAACTTAGTGTTCCATGCCCTAGGTGCTTGCTTTAGTCCATATAAGGCTTTATGCAATTTGTAGACCTTCTCCTCTTTGTCTCTGATCACAAATCCCTCTGGTTGCTTAACATAGACATCCTCTTTTAATTCTCCATGAAGAAAAGCAGTCTTTACATCCAAGTGATGTACTTCCCAGCCGTTTGATGCCGCTAATGCAATAATAAACCGGATTGTTTCAATTCTGGCCACTGGAGCAAATACCTCATCAAAATCTATTCCATGTCTTTGAACATATCCCTTTGCTACGAGCCTTGCCTTGTATTTATTAATGCTATTGTCGGAGTTTCGTTTTATCTTAAAGACCCACTTCAGACCAATTGATTTAGCTCCAATGGGAAGATCTACTAAGCTCCATGTTTTATTCTTTGTGATAGACAAAATCTCCTCTTCGCAAGCATCTCTCCATACTTTTAGTTGATTAGCTTCATTAAAGTCCCATAGTTCTTCATTCATTGACAACAAGAGATGTTCTCCTTCTATCTCTGCTAAAAGCACAAAATCACTAAGATATCCGGGCAATTTAACTTGTCTTTGTGATTTCCTTAACTCTGGTACTGCTGCTTGTGGCTGCACTTGCTCTTCCTCATAGTCTTGCTCAGACTCACTTACACTCTCTTGTTCTGTTTCATCTTGTTGGTCCTCAAGCTCTCTGTTTTCATCAATCTCTCTGTTTTCTTCTATTTCTTCTGTTTCTTCCTCTCTGTCGATACCATGATTTCCAAAATCCCCAAAGCTTAGAGTAAACGTTCCCGGTTCCATCAAAAGGTCTTCTGAATTACTCCACTTCCATCTCTTTGTTTCATTAAACACGACATCCCTGCTTACTATAATCTTCCGATGTGTTGGATCCAAAAGTCGATATGCCTTAGATCCCGGTTCCGTGCCAAGGTAAACAAGCATCTTTGACCTATCATCCAGTTTTTTCAAATGTGGTGCTTCGACTTTCGCATAACATATACATCCAAATACTCTGAGATGTTCTATGTTAGGTTTCTTG